GACAGTCTTTCAAGAGATTTCACAACTACAGACCTTTATCAGGCTTGGAGAGTTGCCAGGCCGATATCTTCCAGATGCCACACTGTAGGAGACAATACGTGGCAAGAATGCAGGAACAGATCTTCACCCAAATGAACTAATTGTCTCCTGCAAAACTCTACTCCCCTTTCCCTCCTCTTTATTCCATATGGGAGGGCCATTCACCATCCATCTGAGCCTTTACTCCCGAGTCGAGCCTTGTTCCTTAAGTGTTCCCTTCTCCAGGCAGCTCTGTGGATGTGCACACTGGGAACAGGCTCCAGCTGTTCTTCTGCCCCACTGATCTCCAACTCCAAAGGCAGCTGATAACTGTCGGACGGCCCTGGCCCCATCTCTGCCTCCGACGCAGAGCCCTCATCAGAGCCTTCTCCAGACTCCAGGACTGGCCCATGTTCCTCCCCAACCTCCTCACTGTTTGAGTCTGCCGCCAGCTCCACTGGCCACTGGCAGGCAACAACACAGCCCAACCCACCTCACAAGGTGGTTGTTGTGGGGAAATTAGAAGCAGGAAGGTGTGTTGGATATAGGTCTATGGAGATGCTCAATCCTCCAAGTCACAGCTGACCCAAAGGCACTTTTTCAGAAGGCAGCTGGGCTTCCTCGGTTGTTGTTTTCCTTCTTCTTCCCTTGAAAACATTTGACTTCTCATTCAAGAAGTTTCTTCAGTTCTAAACTGAAGGGTGGGGAATGGCAGGATTGATGCTCTTTGCAATTATTCAGTCGTTCGCACGCCGAGGCTCTCTTATTTCCCTTAGCAAGGCTTGATCAGTGTTCGTGGCAAGAAGGTTCACATCACACCGGTGAGAAAGCAACACCAACACCATCTGGAGCAACCCCTTCTCTCCAGGCCCCACATCGTCTTCAGCAGTCTGTGGGATGATTCATCGTCGGCACAGACCAGTAAGCTCATTTTTTTCCCTCCCTTGGGAATTAGAGAGAATCCAGAAGTGAAGGGACAGCCTGATTCTTAGAACTGTCCATGTGGCTCAGTGGTTCTTGGAAACTCAAATGAAAAACTGAAGTTACGTATCTGTGATAATCCCATTTCTTTAAACGCGGCGCCTGCGTATTTTAGGGTTCTTTCCATCTCTCTGTGCCGTTGCAGATGGAAGAGTTTCATTCCGGATTCGCAGAGGGGTTGAGGAGAAGGTGAAACATCTGGAGCTGTTAGTGGTGGTGGGGCCAGATGTTTACCAGTTCCACAAAGAAGAGACTGAGAGGTACATCCTCACCAACCTCAATATTGTGAGTTCTTTTGGGGCTACACACGGGAAAATTCCTCCCTCCCTCCTTTTCCTTTCTTCCCTTCATCTCTCTTTCCTTCCCTCCCTAGTTGCATTTGTTTTCCTCTACAAATAATGATGTATTAATCTCAGATTCTTTATTTCTCCTGACAAACTATCTGAATATATATATGTATATATTTCTCTTACGTAGGGAGCAGAGCTTCTTCGAGATCCCTCACTGGGTATTCAATTCAGGGTTCATCTGATCAAAATGATTATCCTTGCAGAATCTGAGGTAAAAAAAGAGGGGGGGGGAGAGAGAGAGAGAGAGTAATAGAGAGAGAAAAGGAAAGAGAAAGAGAGAAAGACAGAAAGAGAAATAAAGAAAGGAGAGAGAAAGACAGAAAGAGAGAAAGGAGGGAGAGAAATTGATATTTTTTCCCTCCATATTCTCCAGAAAAATGATATTGAAACTATGAATTTGTGACTGTGCCTAGGAAGCACCTAAAGACTGTCCATTATATGGAACCTTCTTCAGATAGAGATAAAATATTAACTGTGGAGGCAACGTAAAGTATTTGGAGAGAAACAGCTTAGGCCTTTCTCATTTTTAATAGACTTACCTGTCTGGACAACCCAAATTTGTGGGTCTGAAGTTTAAAACTGACCACCTAAAATTGTGGTTGTTCCATCCCCAAAAATTTCATTGCTATGATATGGATCTGTCGAATCTCAGCCTTAATTGTGTCCCCTTGAATCTGGGTCTAATTGGGGCTCAACGTGTCTCTCCTTTTCCCAGGAAAGCATCCAGATCTCCACCAACATCACAAGCTCAATCCTGAGCGTTTGCAAATGGAGCCTGGAGATCAACCCAGAGAATGACCTGGAACCTTATCACGCTGACCTTGTTCTTTACGTCACCAAGTAATTACTGTTCACTTTGAGGGATGGTTAGCCAGCCAAAAAGCTTTGCACTGAGAGACAAATTCCCTTCCCCAGAGCCATCATGGTTTGTGTTGAAGCCTTAGGAGGATAAGTAGTCTTCGGACTTACAACTGGTCACTTATAATCCAGGTCGTAAGTATCTCCCTACGTCGATCCGTCAGAACTTCAACTGGTCACTTAGGGGGTGACCAGTCTAACACCCAGATTCCAGTCATTGTCCCCCAGGTCTTGTGACTGTACTTTAGGCCTAAGCAGGGGGTTGGACTAGAAGATCTCCAAGGTCCCTTCTAACTCTTATTCTGTTCTGTTCAACACTGAAGATCATCTATAGCATCCTGCAGTCACTCGACTGCCCCATTTTCTGAGCAAAGACTTGGGGACAAAGTTGTTTTCCTTTTGAGTAACTTCCGTAACTCTGGGAACTGCAACCTGAATTGAGGTATAAGCGGCCCAATTGGTGGAACTCTGATCCTAGCTTGGTTTTTTTTCTTTTCTTTCTTTTGGTCTTTTTTTTCCTTCCATTTTTCTGTTACTTCCTTTGCCTGCCTAGATTTGATCTGGAACTCCCGGATGGAAATAAGCAGGTGCGTGGCGTCACCTCGAAAGGAGGGGCCTGCTCAAGGTTTTGGAGCTGCGTCATCGCCGAAGACACGGGCTTCGGTTTGGGCATCACCATTGCGCACGAGATTGCCCACAGGTGAGTGGGCAAGGAGGACCAGAACGAGCCTGGAATAAATAGATAGGTAAGTAGGTAGGTAGATAGATAGATAGATAGGTAGATTAGATAGATAGATAGATAGATGATAGATAGATAGATAGATAGATAGATAGATAGATAGATAGATAGATAGATAAAAACCAATTTCCAGGAAAATCTATCTATATAAAAGCGAAATGCCACTTGCGCATCATCACAAAAACTCTAGAACCGTAAGGCCTACAAACTTGCAATTTGGCCCGTAGGTTCCTCTTGGCTTCTAGGGGTTCACTAAGAAAGGATTCTTCGAAATGACCCTCAGAGCATTTAGAGTATTTCCTATATTATGATGATTATTAACACGCTCCGATGCTCAGGAGTTCTACTCCCCCTCCCCACCTGGAAAGAAATCTGTTCCAAATGCAAAACACAAGCAGAGGAGTTGCAGTTGCAGTTTCACAGCACCAAGCAGCTTCAGTACAGAACAGTTGAGCTAAAGCATGCCCAGGCTCCTTGCTGTCTCCTTCTTGCTCACACATCAAATACTTTTTCAGTTTCCAAACAGCCCTCAACTCTCTCACACACTGACAGGATGCGAGCCAGATGAATACCGATGGATGCTGGTAGACAGAGGCACAATCTCCCCCCGCCCCTTATTTTCCTCCCCAAAAGCTAAGCCCGACCACATTGTTTGATAGCGAAACGCGCGTATCAAGCTAGTGCACTATAAATTGCGATCGTTAAAAGAAGCTGGTTTGCAAACACCCCAAAGGAAAATTGTCTCGAGGGCAATTCTGGGATTTGGGATAACGGTAAGGAAAATCTTGATCTCGACCGCTCCTTTGATCTCTTCTTCTTCTTCTTTTTTGATTCTGGTTTGATGGCAGCTTTGGGATTGACCACGATGGAGAAGGGAACCGCTGCGTGGCAGACCGACACGTTATGGGCTCCGAAGGGGGACACAACAGTGTGGACCTGACATGGTCGGTCTGTAGCAGAGAACAGCTGCAGGAATTTGTCGGGTAAAAGGACCAAAGCTCTGCTTTCTTTGGGCCTCTCATCCAATGCAGAGATGCAAGATCTTTCCATCAATTACTTCTTGCTAAGAATGGGTGCTCAGAGATATACTGGATATAAAAAGAGAGCAAGGCACACACACTAGCACTGATGATGTTACTGAGCTGGGTAATGAAAGGTCTGCAAGAAAGCATCCATTTTCAGAGATCCCCAAGGGCTCCATAATTATCATCCTCCTCCTCCTCCTCCTCCTCCTCCTCCCCACAAACCCCACTCCCTTCTAGCATGATGATGTTTCCTAGTTGGGTAATGAAACGTCTGCAGGAGACGCAGCCCAGCTCAGGGAGCACCAAGGAACTCCACTTTGCGTTCTTGAGACGGTCTTTTTGTATTCTTCCCAACTAACCCCACAACCTTGGTTTCTTCTGGTTTATCACCAGTACAGGCCAAGCAAGCTGCACAGATGATTTGCCTGTGTTAAAGACCAGTCTGCCGGAAGCAAAGCCTGGCTTGTATTTTGGGGCAGACGAGCAGTGCAAAATTGCCTTCGGTTCGGGGGCTTTGGCCTGCACTTTCAGCTATGAGGTGGTAGGTAAAAATTGTTCCTTTTGGGATTCATTGAAACAGCTTTCCTTCCTTCCTTCCTTCCTTCCTTCCTTCCTTCCTTCCTTCCTTCCTTCCTTCCTTCCTTCCTTCCTTCCTTCCTTCCTTCCTTCCTTCCTTCCTTCCTTCCTTCCCTTCCTTCCCTTCCTTCCTTCCTTCCTTTTCTCATCCCTGATTTCAGCATCTTTCAGTTTTCCTTCCTTCCTTCCTTCCTTCCTTCCTTCCTTCCTTCCTTCCTTCCTTCCTTCCTACCTACCTACCTACCTACCTACCTATATATACTGTACCCTTTGTCTCTCTGTTTGTTTTAGCTTTATTGCATTCTTGTGGGATAAAGGAGGCCCTGGAAATAGATTTTTGGGAGTGACGAACATCTTTTCCCCTTTCTTTTCTCCCCTTTCCCCAGGACATGTGCCAAGTTCTCTCTTGCCACACCAATTCGGCCAACCCATCCTCCTGCTCTCGGCTCCACGTCCCGCTTCTGGATGGAACCGAATGTGGGATCAACAAGGTAAAATCAGATTTTTTTTCTGGGTGGCGAGAGGGTCATTTGTGCACTTCTCAAACTCACACCCAGCTTTGGATCCAGCCAGGAGATCTGGCTCTTTCCCCTTCCAGACGCTCCTCTAAAGGCATACACAGCAGTTTTGAAAGGTAGAGCTGTTTCGTCATAAACTGTAGTTCTGTCATGATCTTTTCTCTCCCCCAGTGGTGTTTCAAAGGGCGCTGCAGCTCCCTAGAAGATCTGTCTCCGGTTAGCATGGTGCACGGGCAGTGGTCCGCCTGGGGATCCTTCACTCCCTGTTCCAGGAGCTGTGGAGGAGGGATCACGTCAAGACAACGACAATGCAACAACCCCCGGTAAATAAGGCCTCGATCTTCCCAATTACGACACCCATGCTTAAATGGCATAGATCAAGGGTTAGAGTTAAGAGTGTGCCCTGCTGGATGGTAAAGGTAAAAATTCCCCTCCTTGCACATCCCTGCTAGTTGTTTCCGGCTCTAGGGGGCGCTGCTCATTTCCGTTACAAAGCTGAAGAGCCAGCGCTGTCCGAAGACGTCTCCGTGGTCCTGTGGCCGGCAGGACTAAACGCCTTCAAAGGCGCATGAACAGCTGTTCCCTTCCCACCAAAGTGGCCCCTATTTTTCTACTTGCATTTTTTACCTGCTTTCGAACTGTTAGGTTGGCAGAAGTTGCTGGGACAAGGAATGGCAGCTCACTCCGTGATGCGGCGCTAGGGGTTCGAACCGCTGAACTGCTGACTTTTCTGATCAACCAGCTCAGCGTCTTAGCCGCTGAGCCGCTGCGTCCCTATAGAGGTTGCTGAACTATAGTTCCCAACCCACCCAGTGGTGAGGAATCCTGGGAAATGTAGCTCGGCAACGGCTACGCCTGGGCTTTCGTTTATTTATTTATGGAGTCAAATAGTCACGAATGAACAATGCAAACGGGGCACTGCATCGTAGACATGCCAGTTGCCAAAGCGCCTGCATTTTGATCGTGTGGCCACGAGGATGCTGCAGCGGTCGTACCTATAAAGGACCGGTCACAAACGGCTTTCGTCAGTACCGTTGTTAAATTCGAATGGCCACGAATTGAACGTTTGTGAACCTGAGGGCTACTGACACGAAATCAGGCAAAATAAGATGTCAACTCGTAAAACATTTCTATGCCTGTTTGAGAGTTGCCATGAATAGAGAAAGTCAGGGAGAAGAAATTTGAAAGAGCAATGCAGCCGATTGGAACTGAAAGCGCATCCCATTCATATCTTGCCAAGATTGTAAGCTACTGGAATTTCTGCCGTGCAAATCTCTAATTGGAGAACGTGATTGATGACTCTGGGCTATGAACGTGTTTCGTTGGAGAATATGAATTATGACACACCCAGAGGGGTGGGAAACCAGGGTCAAGGGTGACAGTGAATTATGTGTCTCAGAATCGGCTTCATACAGGCCATGCTGACATGTTCGCTCCTAATAAATCCTTTGAAGATTTGGAAGCTTGGCTTGAGGCTGGTGATTTAATTAGGGCAACTGCCGGAATCCTGACATAAGAACAGCAATTTTAAACAAAAACAAAATGGTTGCAGAGGAAAAGTTATCGGAGTCCTCCAAATCTTGAGGAGAAACAACTGTTCCCAGAGGTCAGGCACTTCTCGCTTCAGAAATTCCTTTTCTTTTCAGACCTGCTTTTGGAGGGCAACCATGCCAGGGAGAAACCTTGCAAGCCGAGATGTGTAACGTGCAGGTAGGTGGACGTCGGATTCAAAAGAAATCCAGTTTTGAAGAAGGAACGGGGGGCGGGGGGTGGGAGATGGCTATCGATGCCCCGATTGTCTTGCAGGATTTCCCTTGCATGTAAGAAATGCTTTGAAGGAGCGTTAAGGTCTGGAGGTAGAGTGTGTTGGGACGCCACCTGTCCCATTGGCCTTTCGCCCTTCTTCTCTCTCGAGGAAGGCTCCAAAACCTACTAGAAGGCGCGTGGGAAATGACCAGGGATGACACATCGCGGAAAAGATGGTAGCAAAGATTCAGCCCATCTTCTCATTTGCTCATCATCCCCCCCCCCCCCCCACTTGCGTGTTCATTCACACTATCTTGGCAAGTGCAAATGTGCAGCGGTGGCATCCCACCCAGATTTGCAGCGGTGGCAACCCACCGTTAGACGCTTCCACTTGGAAGGGCCAGAAAAACCTGCAGGCCTTGCCAGAAGTTTTCTTGAGGAGGACTAACCCCTCAAAAGCAAAGTCCAACTCTCTCTCTTCGGGAGAGGAAACGGTGAGCCTCTGGCCCTGAGCCCCTGGCTTCTCTTCTCCCGAAGCCCTGCCGGAAGACCCAGATGGACTTCATGGATGAGCAATGTTCAGCCACCAACATGAAGCCGCTCTACCTTCACCAGCAGTTGCCTTCCTTCTACAAGTGGGTTTCAGCAGCTGGCTATGCCAAAGGTAAATTGCTTTGGGTGGCAAACCAGGGAGGGACCAGGGTTCAAAATCACACCTGGCCTGGAGAAAGGAAAGGGAGGGAGGTTTTCTCCCTCTTTCGAAGAGCAAGGACCGCTGGACTGGAAAGAGATGGGGATGGTTACTAAGTTGGGATGGTGGTGAAAGGGGATTGGATAAATTCATGGAGGACACAAGTCTGTTGAAGGCCTAATGGCCCAGAGTGACTTAGAACTTTGGGTCTGGAGTAGCAGCAAATTTATTTCTCTTCCTCTTCTCCTCTTCTTCTTCCTCTCCTCCTCCTTCCTCTCCTCCTCCTCTTCTTCTTTCTCCTCCTCTTCCTCTTCTTCTTTCTCCTCCTCCTCCTCTTTTTCCTTTCCTTCTCTTCTTCCTCTCCTCCTCCTCCTCTTCTTCTTTCTCCTCCTCCTCCTCCTCCTCCTCTTCTTCCTCTCCTCCTCCTCCTCTTCTTCCTCTTCTCCTACTCTTCTTCTTCTTCCTCTCCTCCTTCCTCTCCTTCTCCTCCTCTTCTTCCTCTTCTTCTTTCTCCTCCTTCTCCTCTTCTCCCTCTCCTCCTCCTCTTCTTTCTTCTCCTCCTCTTTTCTCTTCCCCCTCCTCCTCTCCCTCCTCCATTATCCGAGTTCCCCCACTCTCTTCTATCTGCAGGAGATGCTCTGTGCCAATATATGTGCCAGGCAGCTGGGAAGAATTTCATGGTGAGCCGTGGGGACCGATTCATTGATGGGACTAGATGCAGGAAAAGTGGCCTGGCAGACAAGGATGCCTTTGCTTTGTGTGTGATGGGCCGCTGTAGGGTAAGGGTGAAAGGCTTCCAAATTCTCTTCTTGTTTATGAATGAAAAACAATCTCCCACAATTCTCAGCCTGCATGGCCCAAAGAATTCCGGGAGATGCCATACTCCATAGGCCAGGCTGGCTATCCAGCAAGCAACCTCCGCTCATTTTTTTTCTCCCTCCTTTTCTTCAGGCGTTTGGGTGCGATGGCCGGATGGACTCCGGAAAGAAGATGGACGCATGCCAAATATGCGGAGGAGACGGCACATCCTGCGTAAACGTGAAGGGCTCTTTTACTGAGGGAAAAGCCAGAGGTATAGTTCCGTTCTATCCTCTCTGTTGCCTTTTTTTTTGGTCCAGTCCTACATACAGATATTCCTTCTTAGGACCATAATTGGGACCGGAACTTGTGTTGCTAAGTGAGGCAGTTGTTAGTTTAATTGCTTACCGATTATACCACCTTTTTGGGGTGGTTGTTAAGTGAACCACCCCAGTGTTGTGGCTCGCCGGCAGCTGATGGAGCTGACAGCAGAGTCGGACAGTAGTGAGAAGGTTGGGGGGGAACTTGGGCCGGGTCTGGAGGCTGAGGAAGGCCTGGAGGAGGGCTCTGCATCGGAGGTAGAGATGGGGCCAGGGCAGGCTGGCAGTCATCAGCTTTCCCTACCTCTAAGTTACTCAAGTTGAGGTCTTCACAACCCTCTTCTATCTCCCCCTGGCTTGCATTCTCTTTCAGAGTACACAACCTTCCTGACGCTGCCTCCTAACACAACCTCAGTCCACGTGGTCAACCGGAAACCCCTCTTCACCCACTTGGGTGAGTCAATGAAGCCCAGCATTGGTTGGGCAGGGTAAGGGTTGAGGGCCATAGAAGAACATCAGTTAACATCAGAAGAACATCAAAGAACATCAACTAACAACAATTAACAGTGAGGACAATTAACCAGCGGAATTCCTTGCCTTCAGAAATTGTGGGTGCTCCATCACTAGGCGCTTTTAAGGAGAGACTTGGCAGCCACTTGTCTGAAATATTATAGGATTTCTTAGGGGGTTGGACTAGAAGACCTCCAAGGTCCCTTCCCACTCTGTTATTACGTTCATCCTAGCTGTGAAAATTCAAGGACAATACACCGTCGCCGGGAAAGGCCTCGTTTCTTTAAACGTCACCTACCCTGCGATCTTGGAAGACAATCGGTTGGAGTACAAGGTCTTCCTTACAGGAGATAATCTCCCCAGTTTGGAGGAGATTCACCTGGCTGGACGAGTCCAGGAAGAGACAGAGATACAGGTAAGGTGGTGAAATCACAACAGCTAAGGAGCAGGGGCTCTAAATGGGAGGCAAAATAAGCTTAGGAAACAAAGCAAACTACCTTGGCAAACCTCTGTGGGATGATGGAGCAGGTTATCTAATCGCACGCCGTCCTTGACTTATGAGCTCTGTGGGAGTCTAAAATTTCCGTTGCTGAGTGAGACAGTTGAGTTTTGCACCATTTCACCTTTCTTTCCACCGCTGTTAAGCGAATCGCTAAATAGGAGTCCACAAACACCTGGATTTTGATCGTGTGACCATGGGGGAAGGCTGTAAGGGTCGTAAGCGTGCCTAAACGAACGGTGGTAAGTTCAGCCCTGCCGGTATGTTCCATGTTCCTTTTTCATCCAGGTTTACAGGAAATACGGGAAAGAATATGGAAGTGCCACCAGCCCTGATATCACCTTCAGCTACTTTAGGCCGAGTGAAAAAGAGAGCCACACTTGGACGGCCCAGCTCAGCCAATGCTCAGTCACCTGTGGGACAGGTGGGTTTCTTAACTGTCCTTTTATTTCCTTTTCTATCTCTTTATCTTTAGCCCCCGGGGTATTTGGGGAGCAAGGAAACATCTCAGAGAATACACAAGGTTGAGTAAATTCTTAGTAAAAACACAAGGTTGAGTAAATTGGGGCCAAGGTGCATCACTTTTAAACATTTGCGGGAGGAAAAAAAAACCCAATTTCTTTGCTCTTTTAAGGAAGCGGGTTTTTCCCCCCCATCTTTCTGCTATTAATTATTGTAAAGCTGGAAGGCCACAAGATGACACGGCGGCTTTAAGAGGCGCCTTCCAAAGAGAGGCTGCTTTCATGAGTCCATGTTGTTCAAAAGACTGAAACTAGGAAAAAAGTGACTTATGACCGTTTTTCACCCTTACAACCGTTCCAGCGTCCCTGTGGGCCAGGTGGTCAAAATTGGGGCGCTTGGCAATGGCATGTACTTACGACGGTTGAGTGTCCCGGGGTCATGCAATCTACCCCCTTTTGCAAACTTCTGACAAATCAACGTCAAAGGAGAAGCTGGATTCACTTGAACGACTGTGTGACTGGCAGTGATTCACTTAATAACGGTAGTGAGAAAGGCCGTAAAATGGGAACAAATCTCACCGAACAACCATCTTACGTAGCAACATAAATTCCAGGCCTCAATTGTGGTCGCACGCCGTATTATCTTCCGTCAGGCGGGGTGATTCCTTTTCCGTTGCCTTCCAGTTCCATCTCTCCTTCTGTGGGGAAACTCCCTCGTGTTTGCGGAGATGATGACCCCAAATTTTACTCTGCAGGCACGCTGCAAGTGCGTTACTCCTGCTTTGATCAGGCAAGAGGCGAGACGGTGGAGGACTTCTATTGCGTCAAGATGCCAAAGCCGCCTTCTAGGCGAGAAACATGCGCGGTGAAACGCTGCCAACCGCAGTGAGTAAAAGCTTCTCTGGACCATTTTCGTTCAAGCCAGGCCCTTCAGAGCAGTATCCATCCGGCCTGTGGTCATCTTATGCCATCAGACTTGAAATTTTAGGCTTAGACAACCTAGAACTACGCTGCCTTCAGCCCGACCTAAGCGTGGTACATAAAATTATCCATTACATAATAATAATTGGCAAGTATTCTTTATATTATTTATTATTGTTTATTATGAACTATCAAACCTGATATCAAATGTAATAGAAAGAAATATGTTTACTGTTCTATTTGTACGTTTACTATGTTTTATTTCTGTATATTTGTATGTTTATATCTTTTTAATCCTTTGTAAATAAAGTTTGTTTTAAAATTTTAAAAAAATAAATAAATAAAATTATCTATTACAATGTCCTACCCGTCAAAGACTACTTCAGTTTCATTCTATTCTATTCTATTCTATTCTATTCTATTCTATTCTATTCTATTCTATTCTATTCTATTCTATTCTACTCTACTCTACTCTACTCTACTCCTTATTCTTCTCTTCTCATGGAGCCATGGTTAGATATAAGTAAGGAATAATGCCTGTAAGACAGTAGGACCCTTCAGAGTTAGGCATGGTCGAACAGGGACTTAAACCCGGGTCTTTCTCATCGAAATCCAAACCTCACCTTCATCACACTCGTTCTTGTACCCCACCTATGTCCAGAGTCTTTTTCTGAAGATCTCTTAAGATAGGGAAAGGATGGCCAATCCTGGATTCTTCTTCCTTTCTTCCCATCCAGCTGGAAGAAATCACAGCTGGCCAGATGCTCTGCCGTTTGTGGCTTGGGGGTGGCCACGTGGCACGTGACCTGTGTCCAGGCCGTTGACGGGCTGGAATCCACCGTGGATGAGAGGTTGTGTCCAGCCGGCCAGAAACCTCCGGCCTTCATGCCTTGCACTGTGGACGTCTGCCCATTGGGATGGAACACGGTACGTATCTCTGGCCTTGACGTAGTCCTCGCTTTGCAGCCGTTCGTTTTAGTAGCTGCGATGGCCTGGTTTAGCCACTGGGCGAAGACAAGGGTTGTGTCAACTCATAAAACACCCCTATGCCTGTTTTAGTAGTTGCCATAAAAAAGAAAAAGAGGTTGGGGAGGAAGGAAATCCGGGAGAGCAGGGCAGCAGTTTGAAAGCTTGAAAGTACATTCCAACTCTTTATCTTTAAAAGATTGTAACTAAACTACCAGAGCTTTTGCCCGAAAATATATTTAATTGGAGAACGGGAATGATGACACCCAGCCCGTGAACGTGCTCAATTGGAGAATCTGATTTATGACACACCCAGGAGGGAGGGGGAAACAGGGTCACAGGGGACTGTGAATGACGTAGGCCAGAGTTGGCTTCATACAGGGCAGTGTCAGAATGTCACCTCTAGTGAATCCTTGGAAGTTTTTTGAAGTTTGGCTCGAGAATCGTGATTTAATTAGGGCGATTGCCGGAATCCTGACAGGTTCGTTCCTAGAGGGCACTGACATTACAGACTTAACAGGACTACCCAGTGTCAGCTTTGGAAGCCACATGAGCACCTGAAGCTTCCACGCTGCCACATTCTTGAGCATGGGAGTTTTGGGGGGAGGATTTTATGGAGCGTGTGTGGTTAGGCATGCTAGAGTTCTTCGTTAGAGTCAAGGCGATGTTATTCCTGCACCTGGCGGAGGAGCGGTTGAAGGGAGATCTCAAGTTTGGGACAGGTGGGGATTGGGGCATGTGATGGAGCGACAGGTGCAGGGGATGGATTGTTTGATTTTTTTTTAATTATTGGAGGAAAACCCAGAACTCTCAGATTCGGGTTTTCCCAGATGTGCCAGTACAACAGCTCTAATAAATTGGGACTTTTGAGAAAATGACGGTCTCGGAGTTTTGCTATTGGAGTTTGTTTTTCTGGAACGCTGACACCCAGATGAGTTTTTAATCTAGTCTGGCATTGGGGATAATTTGGAAATGGCTGAGAAATTGAAACAGAAAACTATTTGGAAAAGGCATTAGTAGATCACCTCTGTATGGAGACAAGAAAACAGCATACAGGTAAGTGACCGGTTGCAATCTCCCTGTTGGTTTCCTTTGGGGCCTTTTGAGCTTTCCTTTCCACCCATGTCCTTGTGATGGTTTTGGTGTCTCCTGAAACAGGAATCGAAGTCCGGGGCTCCGGAAGAGCGAGACCGGAGTGGAAACCAGTCTGTGTACGTCTGGAGCCCCTTGGCTAGGAAGTGTCCCGTCTCCTGCGGAGGAGGTGGAGATATTTAACCTGGATTCCTTGATCATTGATCCGGTTTCAGTGTCTGATCCAGGGAGGGAGGGAGGAAAAAAGGAGAGGGAGGGAGGGAGGGAGGGAGGAAGGGAGGAAGGGGAAAAAGAAGGAAGGAAGGAAGGAAGGAAGGAAGGAAGGAAGGAAGGAAGGAAGGAAGGGGGGAAAAGGAAGGAGGGAGGGTTGAAGAAGGAAAGGAAAGGAGGAAAAGGAAGGAAGGAGAAAAAGAGGGAAGGAGAGAGGGTTGAAGAAGGAAAGGAAAGGGAGGGAAGGAGGAAGGAAGGAAGGAAGAAAAGAGGGAAGGAGGGAGGGTTGAAGAGGGAAAGGAAAGGAGGAAAAGGAAGGAAAGGAAAAAAGGGAGGGTTGAAGGAGGAAATGAAAGGAAATGAAAGGAAGGGGAAGGAGGAAAGGGAAGGGAAGGAGGGAGGGAGGATGGAAGGAAGGAAGGAGAAAAAGAAGAGGGAAGGAGGGAGGGTTGAAGAAGGAAGAAAAGGAAAGGAAAAGGAAGGAAGGAAGGAAGGGCAAAAGAAGAGAAAAGGGGGGAGGGTTGAAGAAGGGGAGGAGAGGAGAGGGAAGGAAGGAAGGCCTAAGGCCGTAGTTCTCAATCTTGGCAACTGTAAGGTGGATAGACTTCCAACTCCCAGAATCCCCCAGCCAAGAGAAAGTCATGTCCGCTGGGTGTAAGACAGCATCTGAAGAAACAATCCTGCGAAGGACAAGCGAAGGACATTCACACACACACACCCTCTGCTCCTTCCCACAGGGCGGATGTTGCTGAGTTACGTCTGCTTGGCTTTTGACACTAAAGAGGAAACAGAGGAGAGGCTCTGTAACCTGACGCAGAAACCAGCGAGCCGTCTCGAAATTTGCAACCCTGAGCCATGCCCACCAAGGTAAGGGTGTGTGTGTGTGTGTGTGTGTGTGTCTGCAGACCTTCCCCCTTATACGGGCAGTCCTCGAGTTACGACCGTGGAATGGAACCCGCCGATTGCGGTCATAAGTCCTGACAGTTGCAATCAACCACACGGCCGAAGGGATTTGACCCCCGTTCTTGTTTGAGGGTGTTAAGTGAAATAATAATAATAATAATAATAATTTTGGCAACCGGGGTGTGCAATGGTGATGGCTGCGGCAGTTGGGATCCCCTGACCGCCATTGACGAACTCCCTGGCTAGCTCCCAACAAGCAAAGTCCACGGGGAAGCTGGATTCGCTTAACGACGGCTTAAGAACAGCCGTGGCCGAAAAGTCTGTTAAAAGAAAAAAGGCCAGGTGCATTTTGGGTAACAACTGCCTCCTTGTTTAGCGACGGAGCGTCACTCTGGTCTTAGGTTGTCATAAGTTTGAGGACTTCCTGCACTGGACCGGACTTCGAGTCCTGGAAGACCGGTTCTCCCCCCCCCCCAAAAAAACAGCGGCGCAGGGCTGTTTCTTCTCACCTGGATTCTGCCTCTCCCCTTCCCACTCAGGTGGTTTTACAAGCAAGGGGCGTGCAGCGTTACCTGCGGCGAAGGTGTCATGCGCAAAATCTTATACTGTGCGCGAGGGGCTGAGGAGGAGGAAGAGGAGGAGATCCTGCCCGACGCATCCTGCGAAGACTCGCTGCGTCCCCAAGAACAGGAAACCTGCCACCTGGAGCCTTGTCCACCCAGGTGATTCGCTTTCTCCTTCTAAATTTGGGGGGGAGGGGCTAGCAAGCCATTTTTTCCCCTCTTGCCCTCCGAGTGGCGGGAATGGGATTGGCCAACGAAGGCGCGGCCAGCAGATTTCGACAACGGTACCCACAGACTTGGCAGTAACCGACAAAAATTCACCAATGCGCAGAAAAGATTAGATGAACTATTAAAAAATAAAGAAGATTTTTTAAATAATATGGAATATACAGTATAATTGGCTAAAAAAAAAGGAGCGGGGGGGAAGTAAAGCTGTTTAGTGAAAAATGACCAAAGAAACTCTAAGTAATAGACGATAGACGATTGCCACGGTCTTGCCTGTCCCTTCAATGTTGCCTTTTCTCTCCCTATAACAAAAACAGCTGGAAGGTGGCTGAGCGAGGGCCTTGCTCCTCTTCGTGTGGGCTTGGCGTCTCTACCCAATCCGTGTCCTGCGTGAGGCTTTCGGGAGGCCGGGAGGTGGAGGTGGCCGAGGGCCAGTGCTCCGAAGCGGAGAAGCCGCTTTTGGTCGTGCCCTGCATTCTCCGGGTCTGCCCTTACGAATGGGGGTTCACCCAGTGGACGAAGGCAGGTACCCCTGTTTGCCACGGCGGGTGACCTTCGGGCGTCCGCGGGAAGCTGAGATAGAGACCATCCTCAGCTTACTATCGTAACCGAGCCTGCGGTTTCGGGAGTTAAGTCGTGACCGTACGAAAAGGGGCTCACCGCGGGCCCAATTTTTTTTTTTTTGCCATGGTCATTGTAAAGCAAATACAGCCGTCGTAAAGGGAGTCCATTTTTATGGGGCGTCTTTTGGACGGAAACCGGAAATAAATGCCCCTTTATTTCATGAATTGAATTCACGCAACTGTGTAAATGCACGCCAGTTACAAGCCCCCGTATTGGGGGGCCGGGGGGTCATGTGAGCAGAGGGGATGGGGTTCCATGGCAGGGGTGGGCTGCTGAGGGCTCAGGAGAGCCCCTAACTAAGACTCTGCGGGGCTCAAAGAGCCCCCAATAACTTCAGAGAGACAAGCAGCCAGGAAAGGCTCTTAATAGGCTTAATTGAACTTCTGGGCGTTCAGCCAAGAGCATTTCACACCTGGTAAAAGTCTTGCAAGCTAGATAAACAATCCACTTAGTGCTTGCAGGGAGAGCCATTGAGAAAATAGACCACTTCTGTACCAGGGCCAAGAAAATAGCATAGAAGTAGTCCTTTATTTATAACCGGTAAGCGATCGGTCGTAAAATCGAGGAGGTATCTGTAATCTCTGCTTCTCTCCTTCCAGTGCTCTGTCTCCTGTGGAACTGGCATCCAGAGACGGCAGGATTTCTGCCTCAACCCCCAAACCAAGACCCGGGTCAGCCCTCTCTTGTGCACGCATGTTCCTAAACCCATGATGGTGAGAACATGTTCCCCCACCTCCTGCCTCGAACAGGCCACGATGAAGTCAGATCTGCAACCAGGTGTCCCAACAGCAACCCGGCCTTCAACGGCAGGGCTCCTGACTCCTCCTCCTGAGCTCACTCTTCCTCTCAAAGGATGGCAGGACCAGGCCTTCAATCGTCCATGGTCCAAAGGAGAAGATCCTCAGAAGAAAGAAACCAAGGGAGATATCGTGGAGGAACCCAGTTACGTAGCAGGGCTAGTTACTACGAGGGCTTTAATCCGAGGCAGGATTTGCGTCCTGGGGAAACAGGACTGGGAAAATCCAGCAAAATGTGGCCTAGCTGAGCTCCTCAGTTGGTGTCAACCAAGAAGGTCTACAACACGTAGAGCGAGGGTCTTCCAACTTGGCAAGTTTAAGACTTGTGGACTTCCAACTCCACAAGTCCACAAGTCTTAAAGCTGTAAAGTTTAAAGACCCCTGATCTACAGTATCTATCTTCTATCTCCATATCTATCTATCTATCTATCTATCTATCTATCTATCTATCTATCTATCTATCTATCATCTATCTATCTATTTATCTATCTATCATTTATAAGCCCATATAAATAGAAGAACACTGACACAATATCGCCTAAACTCCACTGAAGATGTGACCCAGCCTGGTAACAAAATGTTCGGAAACCAACCCACAAGTTCGGAGAATGAACTTCCCCCCGCCCTCCTCCTCCTCCTCTATTCCCACTCCTTCTAGCCCTGATGATGTTACCGAGTTTGGTAATGAAACATCTGCAATAAAACCACCAAACTCAGACCATCAAACCCTACATTACTCCTCCTCCTCCTGGCCAAAATTCCTTCTAGCACCCATAATACTAACCTACTCAACACAAGAAAACAACCAAGCTCAGAGACTAACAAGGACCCCACCGTTCAACCCCGAGCTACCAATAGTCTCTGCTACCCAATTTCCAAGGTGTTTGTCTCACCTGGCCGTCCCCGTCTCTAACGTCTCCTCCTCCTCCTCCGGCTCTTTTTTTTTCCATCCAGGTATCTGTGGAAGGCAGTGGCTGAATCCCAGCGGAATAATCAACATGACGGGTGTGCAAGCCAGGATTTGCACGGTGGCCATAGGCCGGCCTTTAGGGGAGACGATCGCAGTCCAGGTGTTGCACAGTTCCTTGAACTGCAGCGCAGGTGGGCGTCTCACAGGTTTGGTGCTGGTCATCCACCCAAAGATTTATAACCAAGGATCCATTCTCCGTCCTCTTCTCTCTCTCTCTCTCTCTCTCTCTTTCCAGGGGAAATATTGCTCTTTTCAACACGGACGATGTGGCGGATGGCTTGCAAGAAACTGAAACTGCTGGCGGTGAACACCCGCACCAACACCCTGATTGTGAGGCAACGCCGGCTGTTGCCGGGCAGTGGCGTTGTGCTACGCTACACCAGCAGATTGGCCGAGAGGAGGCACCATCAAGGTGTGTGTGTGCGACCCCCGGAAGGGTTCCCCCCCAGAAGTTGTGGGCGAGCTCCATCAATGGAGGTTTTCAAGAAGAGACCGGACAGCCATTGGCCTGGGCTGATGTATAGGATCTCCTGCTTGAGCTGTGGGTTGGACTAGAGGACCTTTGAGGCCCCTTCAGAGCTCTTTTAGTTATTCTGTGCTCTTTCCCGCTCTGCAGCCTGCGATAGGCAGCTGTTTGGTCCCCGGGGGCTCATCCTGAACCCAGGACTGTCGCCGGATGGGGAACGGCAGATGGCTTGCAGGATATTTATCGACGTGGCGCCCCACCTGCGCATCGCCGTACACGCGGTGTACGTGGCATTCCAAAAAACGGCCAACGAAACACACTCCAGCTACATTTCGGTAAGCGTGAATTGGGGGGGTTTACGGAGCCCTCCCGTTGGAACGTAGAATTAACAGGGGCCTTGGAAGGGACCTTGAGGGGTCAACTAGTCCAGCCCCCCGTGCTCAAGGCAGAAGACTTGTATCATCTTGGACAAATGGCTGCCCGATCTTTTCTTCAGAACATACACATAGATAGATGGTAGAAAGATGATGGATGGATGGAGAGAGAGAGAGAGGGTGAGGATGGATGGATGGATGGATGGATGGATGGATGGACAGAAAGAGAGAGATAGGGTGTGGATGGATGGATGGATGGATGGATGGAAGGAAGGAAAAAGAGGGTGTGGATGGATGGGTAAAGAGAGAGATAGGTTGAGGTTGGATGGATGGAGAGAGAGAGAGAGAGAGAGAGAGAGGGTGAGGATGGATGGATGGATGGAAAAAGATAGCGTGGGGATGGATGGATGGACAAAGAGAGAGAGAGGGTGAGGATGGATGGATAGATGGAAGGATGGTGGACTTACAAAAAGCCATCGACGCAGGCAGGCTGAGCGAGCCCCATTTCCTGTTCCAGATTCGAGATGTCCAGTCCTTGAGGACTACCGTCTTCCATGGGAACCGTCTTTTCTACTGGGAATCCATTGGCAGCCGAGCTGAGATCGAGTTCAACCAAGCCCTGGCCAACGCCAGCTTCCGAGCAGAGTACTGGGCCACCAAGTAGCCCTCTAGGAGATTGGCCGATGTGGAAAGTGCCGCCAAGGGAGGGGATTGCAGAATTGTCGGAAGGGACCCCGGGAGGCCCTCTAGTCAAACCCCACCCCTGCTCCAATCGGACAGGAGGCAGGAAAGGGGCCGCTGCTGAGCTCTCTCTCCTCAAAAAACATGGAAGCATAGGCCTTCCCAGACATCTCTTATGCCTCTGTTTTTGCAAACAATCATTGATTGTCTTCTTTGTTGGTGCTTCCGTCAAGCTACACAAAGCTGGATTGGGTCAGTCAAAAGTTCTGCCTTTTAATAAAACATGTTACTTGCAGGGGGGACGGGACCCCCAAACCCTGCCTCTGAATTTCGTTCAGCGACTGTTGACTAACATAGTTCTCACTTCGTCGTGGTTTAAACTTGGCTTGTGGGAAAGGCATAACCTGGTTAGTCTCTTCTCGGGAATTCCTGTTTGCTTAGGATTTGAGGGATCAGGGCCACTCGGAAAAAGGGAGTAAATAGCGTGATTGCAGCTACTAGGGTGGCCGTAGAAGAGAATCATTTTAGTTCCGGGTTGAACGGCGGGGTCCTTGGTGCTCTCTGGGTTGGGTTGCTTTCAGCCCTAGCACTGATGGTGTTACCTAGCTGGGTCATGAAACGTCTGCAAAGAACTGAGCTCAGATCTACTATATATAAACAGGGATAAAAATAGCACCCACTAGCCCTGATGGTGTTACCTAGTTGGGTCATGAAACGTCTGCAAAGAACTGAGCTCAGATCTACTATATATAAACAGGGATAAAAATAGCACCCACTAGCCCTGATGGTGTTACCCAGTTGGGTCATGAAACGTCTGCAAGAAAACAACCTAGCTCATAGAGCACCAGAGGCCCAGAAGTTCCTCTGAAACTGAAACTCTTCTCTCCTCTGCTTGTGTTTTGCATTTGGAAGGGATTTCTTTCCAGGTGGGGAGGGGGAATAGAACTCCTTAGCATCAGAGCGTGTTAATAATAATAATAATAATAATAATAATAATAATAATAATAATAATAATAACAACAACAACAATAAATAATAATAATAATAATAATAATAATAATAATAATAATAATAATAATAATAATAATAATAATAGTAATAATAATAATAATAATTAATAATTAATAATAATTAATAATAATAGTAATAGTAATAATAATAATAAAAATAAATAATAATATAGGAAATACTCTAAATGCTCTGAGGGTCATTTCGAAAAACCCTTTCTTAGTGAGCTCCTAAGAAGCCAAGAGGAACATAGGTGCCAAATTTCAAGTTTGTAGGCTTTGCAGTTCTGGAGATTTCGTGAGGATGCATGGGTGACATTTCGCTTTTATATAGATAGAGAAGAAGATGTCTGTATCTATTAGGGGTCTCTGCCATCGGGCACCTCGGCCAGCCAACTTCCAATTAAAGAGATGGGCTGCTTGAGGTGTGGAAAGTCACAAAACAAGCCATCGTGGGCGAAGCTCATCCCAGCCTGGGCATCTGTTGGTCCATTTCATCGGGGGGGGGGGGGGGGTTGAGGCGGGCACCATCGCCCCCTCTGGCCAGGTCACTCTTCACATCTGGGGATGGGCCCAGCCTGCCCTCCTCCTGGGGAGGAGGGACCCAGCATGCACTGCCACGGGGAGGGGATGTGTGGAGAAAGGCATCGAGGCGGCTGGGAGGGGGCAGGGCTGTTGCCTTGCCTCTCCATTGTCCGCCCCAGCCGGTGGTGGGCAGCCGCCCTGGCTGGGCACCGGGAGGGGATTACACGCTGAGGACTAGAAGCGTGGCCAGTCCGCCTCGCAAGGGGAGGGAGGGTCAGGCAGAATGAATCCCCAGGAGGAGCAGCCCGAAGCCGATGGGGCACCGGCTGCCAGCCAGGAGGATGGCATGACCTGGTGGTACAAATGGCTGTGCAGGCTGGCTGGCATCTTGGGGGCCATTTGTGAGTATTCCCTCCTGGGACACCCCCCCCCCCCCCCCCAAAAAAAAATATTAATAATCGCTCGTGCTGGGACTTCTTTGCTTGTGTGTGTTTGCGTGTTTGTGTGTAAAATGACCTGCTTTGCACAACTGAATGCATTGCACTCCTTCCTAAAGGTTGATTCTCCCTCTTGATGGAAATGCCTTTGTTGCTGGCTGGGCTGTGCTCACAAGTTGTGTGGACTCTGTGTGTGTGTGTGTGTGTGTGTGATCTGTTTCTGCAAAACCAAGTGCACGCCTTCCCACCCCCTAAATATTGATTTACCACTTGGTGGAAATCACCTACATGGCTGTGGCTGGGCCTTTCCCAAAGTTTTTGCGGAGGACGGCTTGTGCGTTTATGCGGAGAGTGTGCGTATGATGATCTGCTTTGCACAACCAAATGCAACGCACACAACCCCTTCCCCTCTCTGTCCATCAGTATTGATTTCTGATCGCCCGATCGATGGAAATTTGCCTCTTATATACTGTATGTGGCTGGCTGTGCTTCAGTGCGAAGGGGCGTGAAGGGCTTGTGTATTTCGTTTGCGTGCGCTGGTGTGGCCATGATCTGGGTTGGTTTTTTTTTGCACAACGAAATCCATACAGAATAAAACAAAAGAGTTTGGAAGCCCTATAGCATTCCACAGACCATTCTCATCCGGGACATTCATATTTTGAACTGTTACCATCAGGGAGGGAGGCGTCTATAGGTGTCTTAAAATGAGGACTAATAGATTGAGAAACACTTTCTTTTCCAAGGCAGTAATTGTCTTGAATCAAACAGTGCATTTGTGATTTAGTCCTATTATTATTATAATAATTATTTTTATTTTTTAAACACTGTAGTGTGATTTGTGATGTGGTGTTTGGGGCACTGTGCTGGAGTAGCTTTCAAATTTCATTGTATTCGTAGAATGCAATGACAATAAAGAATTCTATTCTATTCTATTCTATTCTATTCTATTCTATTCCAGACAAGAGTTGTCCAACCTTGAAAACCTCCAGGGTTGGAGCACCCACAACTTCTGGTGGCAAGTTGTTCCATGGGTTAATTGTTCTCTCTCCCCCCCCCCCCCCAAAAATATTGATTACCTATTGATGGAAATGCCAATATTGCTGGCTGTGTTTTACCCTGAAGGGCCACGGGTCCTAATTCCTATCAAAGCCTCTCTGGATATAGGATTTTTAAACTTGACTTGTGGGCACTGAAGTCTCTTTAACTCCAAGGATGTCTTCTGTACCGCCCTTCCCTCTTTCTCCCTTGTACAGGAAGTCCCCGAGTTATGACTGTTCATTTCACGATCGTTCAAAGTTGCAACAGCAGTGAGAAATGTGGCTTATGACCACAGCCCCTGCCAAGTTTTAAAAAGTTACGCTCTGAAGCCCTTCCTCTATTTTCTTTGCCACATTTCGCCTATAAATGCTGAATATGACTCTACATTGGTCATAATGCAGGAAAGTCATCCAGCCAGTAAACACTCCGTTGCCCGGATAGCCACACACCGCCAGGGATTATCGGTTAAAAAGATGACGATTTAGCCTATAAATGTCAGCGCAGCCCGTTGCTTTCTGTCATTGTTGGCATTCCCTGGGGAATGCCATTGGAAACACAATTTAGACCCACAACTTACACAGCTGGACTTTGTTCCCCTTGCCCTGGAAATTGTCCCGTTGTGCAAAATTGACGATCAGGTCATCCTTAGTCGGGGCCAGAGTCCGTGTTTGCAAAGTGGAGCTCCAGACACGCCTTGCAAGGTTGCTGTTTAGGCAAACAATCCAATTTTTTTTAATCTCTCTTCTAAAATGGTGTTTCTCAACTTGGGAGCTCCGTGGACTCCCAGAATTCCCCAGCCAGCTGTGGGAATTTCTGGGACCAGAATTCCATCCCTCTTCCATTTGGCTCGTGTTCAAAAATTATATATATATATATATATATCTCCAAATTTCATTTTTATACCCCATACAGGCTTTAATTTTTATTTTATTTTTTAAAAAGAGGGGACATGTTTGTTGTCAACTCAGCCACTGGCTCAGCCTGTCTTCCATTTAAGGCTCAGGTGATGCCTGGAAAAATATTGGAATTAAGTTACTTGGCTGAGCTTACACTCGATGGAACGGATGTCTGGTCAGTGGAGAAGATCGTGTTGCAAGGATAATGTAATGTAATCACCAGCTGGTAGCAGCCCTGCCTGGTTATTCTGCCCTTTAGGGGCAACAAAATTGGGGCATTTTTAGCAAGTGGCAGCCTCCAGTGGAGCTAATTTCAGGGGGTTAAGCCAGTCAGATGGGATAAGTACTTCGAGAAGACACCAGCAGGAAATCCCAGGCTTGGAAATTTGGGTGGGAAAAAAACAACACCCACTTGGAAAAACTGAGTATTTCCTTAACATTATGGGATCCATGGTGCTTTCTGAGCTGGGTGGTTTCCTTGCAGACGTTTCGAGACCCAAGTAGGGAACATCATCAGTTCTAGAAGGGAGAAGGGTTTTCTGTGTGTTTATACACAGTCACTCTGGGCTTGCTTGCTTTCTGGCAGACGTTTCATTACCCATCTAGGTAACATCATCAGTGCAAGTAGGGTGATGATGTTACTTAGTTGGGTAATGAAACGTCTGCAAAAATAAATAAATATATCAACAGATTCACTTAACATCCATGTTAATGAACTTAACTGCAGTGATTCACTTTTATGGCAAGAAAAGTGGGGGGAAAAAATGGGCCCAAACTCACAACTGTCTGGCTCAGCAACGGGAATGAGATTTTTCTCGTCCTCAAAACTTCTTCTTCTTTCTTCTCCTTTCTTTTCATCCAGCATGTGCTTTTTCCGGCCTCTGGATGTGCCTGACCATTTACCCGTTGAACATCGCTGCCGGAGTCTGGATGATGTAAGTATAAAGTCCATTTTCTGCATTGTTTGCAACCGTGGCTGGCTGAATACATTTCTGTCAACAGCCTCAAAGCGATGGCGAGGAAGGTTATGGCTATTACGCATTTCCACGAAAATAAGACTGAGTCTTATATTCATTTTTGCTCCAAAGGACACATTAGTGCTTATTTTCTGGTTAGGTCTCATATTCGGGGAAATACGGGGTCTAAATGCATCCGTCTAGCTGATAATCTTAACTGGGGCTTATTTTCCGGTTAGGTCTTATTTTGGTGAAAACACTGTAGATAAAAGAATTGGGAGGGAAAATTCAGAACTTGGCTATTCCATATGCTGACTGCAGCAAAAATATTCAATCCTTGCAAAAAATGGAAAGACACATCAATTCCTACAATGGGAGAACGGATGGAAAAATCCTGGAATTGGGACAAGATGGTAAAATTAGCTATTTTAATTAGGGGGGGGGGAA